GCCGTCTCGGTGCCCAGCGTGGACGGCTTGGACGGGGCTTCGCCAAGAAAGGAGGCAGCGCCTCCACCCCAGCGCCCCTTGGCCCTGCTCCCATGGAAGCGCCTGTGTGGGCCTCCCCAGAGCCGGTGCCCAGACACCAGGACTTCCCGGACCTCAGCCTCACACAGTGCTCCTGACTCCATAACCAGGTCTCTCCCAGCCCGCTGCCTGGGCCACAGGGGCTCCCGGGGCCAGCTTGCAGGACTTCAGTGCAGAGGGGCACAGGGGGTCTGGGATGTGCATGAGGGAGACTTGGGGCTGCTCTGGGCCAGAAGGAGCCGGGAATGGGCCTGGGGCTCAGGCAGCCGACGGGAGGGGACAGCTCAACGGGGAGCAGGGCCCGGGCGTTGACAGAGGATCCCAGGCCTCCAGTCAAGGGTGGTCCAGAGCAGGCCAAGTGGCGGCCACCCCGAGGGGACTGCGGACCGTGGAGCCTGAGGTGGCGGCATGGGAGTTCGAGCCCCGTGCTCCCTGGTGGGCGGTGGGCAGGGCAAGGGTCAGCAAGGCCGAGGCAGCAGAAGCCGTGGCTCTCCCTGAAGCTTCCTTTGCAAGCTTGCTCTGGACCCGTGCAATGCATCTCCTTGTTTTTCTCCCCTTCCTTCAATGCAATTATAGATTAATTAATTCTCACCGAGCAATATCTGACCTACATCAGCGCCTCTGTAAGACGGCAGAGCCAGAAGAAAGAATCATTTGGCTATATAAAGACAAGCAATCTATTTTAAAAGAAGGGCTGTGTGCGGGTGCCAGCTGCTCCAGCATCCCTGTTACGTAAGGCCCATCTAGAGGCAGCACACCCTCTCACTGCGATGCCCGGCTCGGTAGCGCCAAACGGGGTTAATCGTCCGATCGCGTCGGGCTCACCGGAGGGGCTCTGCCTAGGATGCCTTCCCGGGGCCCCTGGGCACCTGCCATGCGGTTCACTGCTGCAGGATGCCTCCCCTCTCCCTCCCCCACATCAAAGCACCTGCCACGCCCCATCGTCATTCCGGATTCTCCAGGTCAGGGGCCGAATCTCATTCAGCTGTGTGTCCCTCGACACCAGAGCGAGCCTGGGATACATAAGGGGGCTTCATCGACGCGAAGGAATTAAGCCGTGACGCAGCGGGCGGAGCAGTGCGCAGGACAAGGTTCCTGCACTCGCCGAGCCTCGGGCACTGGGGGACGGGCCCCGAGCTGCAGGTGCGCCGTTCTCAAGGCTGCTCTGCACCGTGGGTGCTGCTGCCGCCACAATGGGAACCTCAGGGGTGGCCCCCAGGGTTCCTGGCGCTCATACCCGGTGCAGTGCCCTGCCCTGATGTGGCCTGGACTGCGTGACTCAGGACCAGATTCCAGGGATGGAAGGAGCAGAGAAGATGGGAGCTGTGGCTCTGTCTTGACCATGCTCTCTGGCGCTCTCTTGAACCCTGGGTGGCACCAGCTGCTGCACGGGGGGGGGGGGGTGGCGGGAAGCCCTGTGGACAAGCCCAGGTGATAAGGGGCTAAGTGGACAGCACTTCGAGTGAGTTTGGGAGCAAATCCCCCGAGCTGAGCCTTGAGATGCGCTCGAGGTCCCAGTCCCACGGCTCCGCACAGCCCAGAGCCGCCTCCGAGCTGACTCCCGCCCCACACGCGCTTGCTGTGTAAACCATGAGCTCTGGGATAGCTTGCGACTCTGTTGTAGGGAGCTGATGCTCGGCCTCATTCTAGAGGTGGGTAAACTTAGGCTTGAGGAGCTGAGTGACTTGGCTCTGGTCCCCCAGCACAGGTGCAGGCTCAGCCACACCCGAGTGCACACAGCGCACAGATCTAAGGGGACAGGCCACGCCTCGACCGAGCTGGCCGCAGCCCACACAGACCACAGCAGGTGAGAGGCCTGTCCTGTCCGTCCCAGCGCTCTCGGGGGGCCCGTGGCTGCCTCTCCAGCCTGGTCCCAGAGCTCCTCTCCCTGGCTCTGCCATCCAGCTTCTGTCCAGGACCTCCCAGGCTCAGGGGCGGCGTCTGCCACCAGAAGCCCTCATTCGTTTCACCGAGGAGGTGGCCCAGAATACAGGGCACCCAGGGTGAGGGGCCTGTCACTTCCCTGGGGACCTGGAATGACTTCCTGCCAAAAGCCACATCTGACCTTGACATCAAGGGCTGTGGCCAGGCGGCCGGGGGTCCACCGTCGGCCCTGATCGCAGCCTCCTGTCTTCCACGCACCCCTACTCTCAGGACCCCAGCCTTGCCCTCAGCCCACCCCTTCCAGCGTGGAACACAAGGCGAGCTATTTCTCCGCCTCCCCTGGCCTCAGTCTCCCCCTCTGGAAAGTGGGAAGAGACAGTGCAGCTGAGCCTGGCACTTGCTTCACAAACTCGTGAGGCCCCAAACCACAGCCTGAAAGGGCAGGGCCTGCGCGTGGGGGCTGCAAGGGCGTGGACAGCCTGCGAGGGAGAAGGCAGGGAACACACAGCGCCGGGCACAGCGGCTGCCACCTGGAGCCCAGTAGCCACGTTGTAGCTGTGGACTTTGGCAGAGAGAAACTGAGAGCAGCGTGCCTCCCTGTCCCTGCCGCTGCCCAGGGCTCAGGGGCTTGCCCTGGGTCCCCATCGGGGCAGGCGGGGTGGGTACCTTCCTGTGTCTCCCCCACCTGCCCTGCAGTCTGAGCCTGAACTCACCTCTGTGGCCCCAGAGTTCACTGTGGGCCCCTGTCACCTGTTTTAGAGGCCGCCCTGGGGAGGCCTGGTGTGAGTCACAGCAGGGGAGCGTGGGGCAGGGGCGGGGCGGACAGAGGTACCCTCAGCTGGCAGCCCGGGCCTTCCTCCTCTGAACCTGGCAGGAGTGGACGGAGGCTTTCCGCTGGGTGGGTGAGACCCTGCCGGATCCCTGGGTGACCGTAATGGCTGCTCAGCCTCATCCAAGAGGGGGTTCCCTTTCTGGGCTTCTCCCCTCCATCCAGGGAGCTCCAGCGGCCACAGCCCCACGTTCGGTTGCCCATTTCCCTCTATTTATGGAAAAAATGTATAAATAAGAAATAGGGGTCTTCTCACGTGCAGTCAGGATACAGGCACTCAGAGCAGAATCAAGGCCTGTTAGGGACAACGTGACATTGTCACGTCTGCAATGACAGAGGGGCAGTGGTGAGGGGAAGGGGGTTGGGGGGAAGGAGAAGGGGCCAGGAGGGAGGGCAGAAGGGGCTTCCATTCCTGCCGCTGGAATCCTTGCGTGGACTTGCCACCGGCCCCTTCTCTGGGCTTCCTCCTGAGCCCGCCTCGGGCAGCTCCCAGCTGAGAGCCCCCCAGTGACCCCTGCCTGCTGTGCCAACAGGGGGCCGACGACTGAGTGGGGCAGCCTGCCTCCCTCCCAGAGCCTGTCCAGGCACCAGGGCCGGTCCCTTCAGAGCCTCGGAGCAGAGCCCTGCCCCCCGGGAGCCCTCCTCAGGCAGCCCTAAGAATAAGCTCTCATCTCCCCGCCTCGAAGTTGGTCACCCCAAGGACGGTCTGTCACACGTTCCCTAGTCTCCTCCTGCCCACCTGTGGCTTGGGTATCACTGTGCCTCTCCTCAGGTATCACTATACTGTAGTACTAGGTAATACTACACATCAGTATTACACACGCCATGCAGGGCAGAGAAGGATGGTTCAGCCAGGTTCATTAACTTGCCCCGGGACACACAGCAAGAAAGAGATTCCCAGAATCCAGACCCGGACACAGCAAGAAAGAGACAGCCGAGATCCAAACCCGGACTCTGCTGCCCCAGCCTCCACTCTCCTGTCATGCTCCCTCCAAGACAATCCTGTCTCAGGCACCCAGAACCTCCAGACTGTACATCTTAGCGGCTTGGCAGCAATGGCTTTAGAAGCTACAAGCTCCCCTGTCTAAAGTGGCAAAGAAGCCAGAAAAAAATGTGTAACTCGGTGGGGCCTTCACCTGACTCACCCCTCAGTTCGGGCTGAGGACCAGCAGAGCCAGCACCGCCCAGGCAGGCATTAGATTGCAGCGTCCGAGGCCCGCTGCCCTGCTGAGTGAGAAGCTGCCCATTTACAAGACCCTTGGCCGCCTCTGAACGCCGAGGTTAGGAGGCAGCTGCGTGGGGCCATGCCAAATCCCCCGCCATCCCCAGCCCTGCCCCCAATTCCAGGCTTGGTGAGGTGTCGGGCCCTGGCAGGAAAGAGCTTTGAGCATTCAGGGGGGCTGCCAGCATCGGCTGGTGTCACGCCCCATGGCTGGCTGCCTGCCTCTACTCACCTGTAATGCTGGCCTCCGGGAGGCCAAAGCCTCAGGCCAGATGTGCTCTGCACAGACCTGGATTCTCTGGAAACCTGGCCCCAAGACCAAGCCAAGCTGTTTATAGATTCTGGGCTCTGGGCCAGATATCATTTCTGGCTTTGATGCCATTTAATGTTCCTTCAATGTATTATTCATTCCTGTGAACTGCAGCGCTCGCTCCTCAGAGCTCCTGAGCACACGTGCCTCCTCCCCATCCGCACTCAGCCCAGGCTGGTCTCCACCTCTCCTGCTCCCCACCTGCCTGACCCCCGCCCACCCTCCACACTTCTCCCCAGCAGCTCTTCCCTGAGCTCAACCAGAATGAGCCAGGACTGGACTTGCCAAGGCTTGGACCCCATCCTGACGTTGTGTGGCCATGGAGAAGCCACTGTGTTTCTCCGGACCCAACCCTAACACTCCAAAACCCTAAAAGCTCAAAGCTAGAGAGCACCTTGGGCACCTCCTGGGTCACCAAGAGCAGCACCTCATCCAGGAGACCACCCGTGGGATGCAGGGATACCTGCAGGGATGAGGGGCCCACTGTCTGCACAAAACGAGAGGCCAGGCCCCGGTAGCCAGGCTCTCAGCTGCAGCATCTATGGCTCTCTCCCTCCTCGCCTCTCTCTCTCTGCCCACCGCAATATTCCAGGATTGGTGCAGTGCTGAAATACCAAATAAAATCAGGCTGATAGGTAAGGGATAGGAATTGTTGATTCGATTTCTTATCCTTTTTTTTTCTTTCTGACACTTCAATTATTTCAGTTATGACTTTTTCACATAACAGTTCATAGATTGCAGGGGAACAAGTAACCTTTAAATCTCCCATTTAGCACATTACAATAATTTCCTTGGAAATCACAGGTGCTCACGCTATATGACCTTCCGCAGGCGCTTCATCAGCAAATTAACGTCGAGGTTAATTCAAACTTGGGGGAAAGTGCAAACTTGACAAAGATGAATCCAGCCATTTGCAGTAACGATCAGGTCAGCTCAGACAAGCTGGGGGAAGTGGCATCTCTGGGGCAACAGCCGGGTGGCATCGCAGTCTGCTGTATTTTGTCAGAAGCTTCCACTGAAAGCAGGTGTTCCACGATCAGTCTCCCTGGCTTCAAATTCGGACTACAACTCTAACAGCCACATGGCCTTGGCCAAGTGACTGCCCCTCTTTGGGTCTCAGTCTCTTTATCTGTAAAAAGAGTAGATATTAGCATCTATCTCATTGTGGGGATTACATGAGTTGATACATAGCAAAGTATTTGGCACAGAACTGCCATTTATTTAAGGTCAATAAATAACTTCTACTATTGCCATCATTACTACTGCATTCACCATTATCCCCACTATCACCACCACCACCATCACCATCATCACCAGCATGATCTTCACCATCATCACCATCACCATCATCACATCACCATTATCACCATCATCACCACCACCACCACCACCATCATCATCACCACCACCATCACCATCACCATCATCACCACCATCACCATCACCATCACTATCACCACCATCACCACCACCATCAACATCACTATCACCATCACCATCCTTAATCACCATCACCATCACTATCATCACCATCGTCATCACCACCATCACTATCATCACCACCATCACCATCATCACCACCATCACCATCATTATCACCACCATCACCATCACTATCATCACCATCATCACCACCAACACCATTATCATCACCCCATCACCATCACTATCATCACCACCATCACCATCACCATCATCACCATTACCATCATCACCACCATTATCACCATCACCATCACCATCATCACCATCACCATCACTATCATCATCACCGCCATCACCATCACAACCATCACCATCACCACCATCATCACCATCATCACCATCACCATCCCACCATCACCATCATCATCATAATCATTACCATTACCATCATCATCACCACCACCATCACCATCATTACCACCATCACCATCACCATCATCATCACTATCACCATCACCACATCACCATCATCTTTCACCATTGTCATCATTACCATCACCATCACCATTATCAACATCACCATCACCATCACCACCATCAACATCACCATCACTACCGCCATCATCACCACCCTCACCATTATCACCATCAACACCACCATTCCTACCAGCACCATCATCATTATCACTACCATGGTTACCACCATAATGTCATCACCACCATCATAACATCACCACTATCAATACCATCTCATCACCATCATTCCATCACCATCCCTGTCACCATCATCACCATCATCAGCTTCTGGGGCTCCCGGCACCCTGAAATTTTGACCATCTGCTTCCCAGACAGTTGCAAACCCGGATGTAATGAGCAAGGGGCCCCTCAGGCTTTAAGGTGCCCCTGGGTCCTGGGCACCTCATGGCCAACAGTGTGGGCTGAGATGCAGCAGGTCTGGGCAGGCCTAGTTTCCCAGGGGGGCCCTGGACTGCACAGGGTGGCACAACCTGCTCCTCTGGGGGTTGAGGCACCTCAGCCCTGGCACACTGTGGCACTCGGCAGAGCAAACAGCACAGGATTAGGGTTCAGTTGAGGGGCCGCCTGGAAAGAGAGCTGTGGTCCCATAAGGACTGCTTGTGGGGGAGGGTCGCCTGGGACACGCAGTCCTTGCAGTCCCCAGGAGGGCATCGTCCTTATGGGCAGGGATGGGCACCGCAGGCTGCCTGCCTGGGAGGTTCTGAGAGCTCGTCCCCATTATTAGGAGGTTTCAATGTCCTGCCGTGATTCGAGGGATTAGAACTGGACAGGAGGTTGGGCTGGCAGACATGCCCACACCTGGGCTCCCACCATGCCGGGCTGTGCAGGCCAGGTGAGCATGCCTGGGTCCCAGAGTGTTGGGGCCTCCTCCCAGCCCTGCCTGCCTGACGTCCCAGCTGTGCCTTCCACCGAGAGGCCACTGCATCTCCCCACGTGGCTGCGGGTCCGAGCTCTGCTGGGAGGTGGGGCAGCTTGTTTACCAGGGCCTCCTCGGGGGCCTGCCGGAGGAAAAGCTCTTAGCAGGTCAATAATACCATTTACGGGGAACAATACCAAGCTTGGGATGGAGACCCAGGAGCCAGAAGTATCCAGGCTTCATGCTCAGAAAGACAGCTAGACCCCCAGGGCAGCGGCATCTGGCTTCTCTAAGGAAGCATCTCTAGACAGAAGGTGAGACCCAGAGCTCAGCCAGAGGCCCAGGACAGGACCCGGCTGGGTGGGAACAAGGCAGGCTGGAGCATCCTGCAGCACACACTGCTATACAGCACACGCCTGCACAGGACACTCCCACATGGACTTGTGTGCACACAGCACACACCTGCACCGCACATGCCTGTACATGGCACACGCCTGCACATGGCACATATGCCTGCATGGCACATATGCCTGCATGGCACATGCCTACATGGCATATATCTGTGTGTGGCACATGTACATGGCACATGCCTGCACAGAACACTCCTGTAGGGACTTGTCTGCACACAGCACACGCCCACATGGCAGGAACCTGCACATGGTTTCCCAGTCACCTGCTCACTCATTCATCAAAGTCATTCTGCAGTGGATAAATTCACTGAAACAATCATTTCTTCAATCATTCATTCAATAACTATTTGATGCCTATTTACTGCTGGGAAACATGGCAGGACTGGCCGCTCTTAGCCAGTGGGCGGTAAAGGACCCGGGAATGCCCAGACCCCAGGCCTCCCCCATGAGGGCCCGTGAGGGAGACACGCCAAGAGGGTGAAAGGCCACGCGTCCTCAGTCCCTGGGTCTCCAGTTCAGGCCATGCGGTTGCTCTTTGGATCCCAGCTGGAGATCGAAGCCCTTCCTAAGTCCCAACCGAAAATATGGAGTCTTGTCAAATTCCACCTGCTTCAAGAGAGGTCAGGCACCCGACGGACTCAAGGGAGAGCAGCCCCTCCATATTTGACGCTGCCCACCAGCAAATGAGGCGCCCCGTGGTCCCGGAACCAGAACAAGTCAAGCTGGAATTCCCCTATGGATTGGAGGCTGGGGGAGGGGTGAGGTGGGGACACCTAAGAGCTTGCCCCTCCACCCAGAGACCTGCAGTGACCTTGAGTTCTAAGCCCTGCTGAGAAGCTGGGGCACCCACCTGAGGATCCAGCCTCTTTATCTGGAAGGGATGCTTTAAGTTCACATGAAGTTCCGCTGTGCGAGAGCAGAGGAAGGGGAAGCTTTGTCAGGAGCCAAGAGCAGGAAGTGGCTGTCTCCAGTGGGGGCGTTTCGCCGCTGCCTGGGCTGCAGGTGCTTCGGCTGACTCTGAAGGATGATCAGGGTTTGGGCAGATTCGTGTGAGTCGGAACCTGCTCCAGGAAGAGGGCCGGCTCCCCATGGACACGGGCCAGGAGGCACCAGGCAGACCGGCTGCGGGGATGCCCAGGCTCCGTGGGGAGGCAGCCACGCCAGCAGGAGCTGGATTGTCAAGGCCTGCATGTGAGGTGACAGAACGGCTAACTGTCCTGTTGATTTCCATTCTCTCTTCTTTCTATAGAACAGTTTCCTCTGAGCAATGTCCGTCGAGCCAGAGGTCTCATATCCCAGCCTCCTTCACAGACACAGGTGACCCTGAGAAATGCCCAAGCAGGGAAAACACAGCCTCGTCCCAGACAGGTCCCCTGGACAGAAACTCAAACCAACCCAGGCGAGGCCCAAAGGGAAACGGATGGGCTCATCAGGCAACCAGGGCAGGGCCACGAAGCCTCGGGCACCGGCTGAACCCTGCGGGTCCTGTCGCCTCTCTCCGTCCTGTCTCCTTGGCCAGTGCCACTGAGTGCTGACTTCCTGCTCCTGATGCGGCCTATCCACAAGGCGGGTGCGCACACACATTCACACCCGTGCAGGTGCCCCCACATGTACACACATGCACACACACACGCCTGCGGGGCCACATGCTCTCACACATATGCACATGCACACACTCATGCACACGTGAACTCAGTACACATGCACACACACACATGTATGCACACCTACACACTTGCACACACATGCACACCCACACAAACGTGCATACACAGGCACACACACACATGCACACTCATGCATGCATACCTACACACACGCATGCTCATGCATGCACACCACACGCACACCTGCACTCCCACACACGTGTGCATACACATGCACACACATGCATGCATACCTACACTCACACATGAACACACATGCATGCCTACACATGCACACTCATGCATGCATACCTACACACACACATGCTCATGCATGCACACCACTCACACACCTGCACACCCACACGTGTGCATACACATGCACACACGTGAACACACATGAACACACATGCATACCTACACACATTCACACACATGCACATGCTCATGCATGCACATCTTCACACACAATCTCATGCACACACACTCATGCACACACACCAGTGTATATGCTCATTCACATGTGCACAAAGGCGTGACAAACATGCACACACACATCAGTGAACACAGGCAGACAGATGCATGCCCCACATGTGTATACACCTGTGCACACAGGCAGTGCGTGCATACACAGACACATGTGCACACACATGCATTATCAAAGGGAACAGCAAGGGCTTCCACACACGGGCTGTGAGGCCATGCAGACCCCATACACGCTCCTCCTGAGCTGGGGCCAGTCGCCGCATCTCCACCTCACACCTAGAGAAAGTGACTGCAGTGCCCACCTCCTGGGGTTCAATAACAGTCAAGAGAGCAGTGCCTGGAAACCACGCCCAAAACCTGGCGCCTACATGGTTCACAAGGTCACCTGCTCTGCTCTCCCCAGCTCTGGCTCTCTCTGTCTCTGCCACTCTGTCTCTGTCTCTCCCTGGCTCTGTCTCTCCCTAGCTCCATCTCTCTCTGTGTCTGTCTCTCTCTCTGTCTCTGTCCCTCTCTATCTCTGTCTCTCCCAGTCTCTATCTCTCTCTGTGTCTGTCTCTGTCTCTCTCTGTCTCTGTCTTTCCCTGTCTCTGTCTCTCCCTGGCTCTGTCTCTCCCTGGCTCTGTCTCTCCCTGTCTCTCTATGTTTCTGTCTCTATCTCTGTCTCACCCAGTCTCTGTCTCTCCCAGTCTCTGTCTCTCCCTAGCTCTGTCTCTCTCTCTCTGTCTGGGACGAACACTCTGTCTCATTCACGTCAGGCCTTCGCTGGCCCAGCCTCCTGCTTTCTTCCCTTCTGTGTCTTTCAGGAGTCACGCCTGTCAGGCGATTAAGCGGAAGACCAGCTGGGCTGGGATCTGAAGACAGGGTCTTTCCTGAGCAGCTGCTGAGTGCCCAGGCCCGTCCAGACTCTGTCACGCTGGAGGCAGGGAAGGTGGGGCTCTGGAGGGCCTGTGTGAGTCCTGGAGAGGGCAGGGCACAGCGCTGGAAAGTCGGGGGGTCCCGTGACGCCTGCAGCCCAGCCGCGCTCAGCACATGTGTTAAAAGGTGAGCACTGGGCCTGGGAGAATGTAGGGATGAGTAAGTCACAGCCTCACTTCAGGGTGTTGAAGCTGGGTGGGAGAGAAAGGCCAAGGAGTGACAGCAGCCATGTGCAAGGTCACAGGGGCACATGCAGGGAGTCAGTCCTCTCAGCAGGTTCCTGGACGAGGTGGCGCTGCAGCAGGGTTTGAAGGGTGAATAGGAGTCCTTCAAAGGACTGTTTTGTAGGATAAAGCCTCTGTGTACATAGAAAGGGTGCGGATTCAGCTCTCACAGAGGCTGAGTGAGAACTGAACAAGCTCAGACAGCTCTTCCATGGCAGAGCCAGGATTCAAACCCACGTCCTTCCAGTTCAAACATCCATACTCTGAACATGCCACTAGCTAGGACATCTCTCTGTGACTTCCACAAACTTGTCTTTGTGTAAGGGACCCCAGACCCCCATTCTAGAGCCACTTTCCTCGGGTGGAGGGGCTACAGTCTGCGGGGAACCTACAGGCTGAAGGTTGGGACCGTGGCCACCGCTGTCTCTTCCCACGAGCCGCCTTCCCAGGGTGGTCCCAGCTCCCAACCTGGGTCCAGAAGCCCCCTGCCCTCCAGCTCCAGGTCAGGAGAGAGCCCTTCCCCATTCCCGGCTCATGCTGGGCCCACTCCCTGAGCAGGGTCTACAGGGAACACACTCAGGGGCAAACCACCGGGGGTCCCCACGACGGCAGCCTCAGCACCGCACCATTGGTTTCACAGTGAGGACGCAGTCCAGGGATGGAGCTGACTGCCAAAGCCATGAAAAGAAGACGGAGAGCAGAAGGGAGGGAAGGAGGGAGGGAAGGAGGGAGGGAAGGAGGGAGAGAGAGGGAGGAAGTAGGGAGGAGGGGGGACAGGGAGGGAGGGGCAGGGAGGAGGGAGGGGCAGGGAGGAGGGAGGGGCAGGGAGGGAGGAGAAGGGAGGAGGGAGGGGCAGGGAGGAGGGAGGGGTAGGGAGGGAGGAGCTGGGAGGAGGGAGGGGCAGGGAGGGGGGAACAGGGAGGGGGGAACAGGGAGGGAGGAGCAGGGAGGAGGGAGGAGCAGGGAGGAGGGAGGAGCAGGGAGGGAGGAGCTGGGAGGAGGGAGGAGCAGGGAGGAGGGAGGAGCAGGGAGGGAGGAGCCGGAGGAGGGAGGAGGGGGAGGAGGGAGGAACAGGCAGGGAGGAGTGAGGAGGGAGGAGCAGGGAGGGAGGAGTGAGGCACTGGGACTCACTGGTGTAAAACTGAGCCAGTCTGTGGGAGCCGCTAGGCTAAGCACAAGCAGAGCTGGGCACCCCGTCTTTCCCTCCCACCCTGAGCCAGCCCTCACTGCCATGCACTCTGCCCAGGTCAGGGGCATGCTGGGGAGGCGCCTTGGTCAGCAGGACAGCCCAGAGCAGCAGATGCCAGAGGCCTCCTGACCCACCGTCCACCCCACCCAGGCCTTGGGGGCCCAATCTGACTCCATGCCAACTTCAGACCCGCCTGGCCTCCAGCTCCAGACACTGCCTGCTGTCAAAATGCCCGTCGATAGCAAGACTACCTCCTCCACTCAGGTCAGAGGGAAGACAGGATGCCCCAGACTCACGCATCACACGGGCCACACCGGCTCAGCTCTTCCCTTTGTAGAAACCAAGAAACACTCGTCCTGGATTGCGGCCCACCTCCGGCCAGCCTGGATCCCTCTGCACGGGTCAGCTGCCCCACTACCCTGCACGCACCACCACCATCCTGGCCACTTGATGGCCTCGGGCTCTGAGAGGCCATCTGCCCCCTGAGGTCACACAGCCAGCCAGGGCTGCCAGGATGTGAACAGAAGTCACATGATCTCCCCGCGGCGCTGCCAGATAAGGAGGGCATTGGCCCTGGTCACGCACCAGCCTCCTGGTGTCGGCGCAGGTCCCCTCCTCAGCAATGTCTTGAGCCCAGGACCCACCGAGGGCCTTCGGGGGCAGGGCAGCAGGGCAGCATTGGGCTTGTGAGGGTCTCCAGGCCGCAAGCACTTTGGGGCCACAGTCAGGACCCGCTAAGTGGTAACAGAATGCAGGGCCTTTGGGCCCTCTGTGGTCTCTTCTCTGCTGACTGTGCCAGGCTCCAGCCATGCCAGGACAGTCCAGCCCCAAACCAGGACACCTCCCACACGGAGGCGCAGCCCCTCCCTCTGCTCCGCTCGCCCCGACCTGCAGATGGAACGCCCCCGCTCCTCCCCACTCCCTCGGCCCCTCCTCCCAGCTCTGAGCTCCTGCCCTTTTGGCTCTGAGAGAGGACTTACGTGAAGTGTGCGCCATAGTAACACTTTGTCAGCTCACTGATGGCGAATTAAACAAAGGCGGGGACCTTCAGGATGGGTTTTCAAGAACGTGTAGGAGTTCACCGCGGGATTCAGAGGGTAGGTGAAGGGTGCTTTGAGAAGAAACCAAGGGGCATGACACAGTCAAGGAAAGAAGGGAATCCGTCCGCTCGCGCAGAGGGCCTGCCACTGGGGTGCGGACGGTGACAGTCTCCGCAACCTCCGAGTGCCCCACCAAGGACTCAGCAGTGTACACGTCGGAGGGGCCTCGGGAGGTCAGAGGAGGTCAGCAGCGGAGGGCCGGGCTCGCCGTTCCAAGGGTGACCGGGCCACTGCCGTGTGTCCGGGCGTGGGCCGGGTCCAGCCAGGGCCGTGGCGGGAGGACGAGCGGCAGGAGTACACAGAATTGCTTTCTTGCGGCGCCTCCGATAGCTCCAAAGTCACTGTGTTCGCCTAGGAACATAAAAATGTATAATGCGTGGCTTGATTTGTACAGAAAATTACCATGTTTGGTCTATTTAGAGAAAGCAGGCCTGCGGGGCAGGAGCCGCGTGGGAGGGCGCTGCTTTTCTCCGAGGGCTTCTTCTGCGTCTGCTTCAGGTCTCCGCTGCACAGCCGTCTTCTTCATGTGGGGCATGCCTGCCCGTCGGGGGTCAGAGCCCCCCTCTTCCCCGGGGTGCCCCTCCTTGCTGGTGCCCTGGCCAGTGTGGGATGGAGAGGGGGCCCCTCAGAAGCAGGGCTGAGGTAGATGGATGGCAGCTTTCTGTGCCCTCGACGCCGGGGCCCACCCTCTCCGCAGCTGTCCCCAGAGGCAGGGGCCTTGGCGCCTGGTCAGGTGTCCCTGTGGCCTACCCACCTGGAAGCCACCCCCCAGGGCTCCCTCACCCCCACCCCAGCCCTGCGCTGAGGTCCAGCTCCGCATTATTCCCCTAACGTTTTCGTCTGATCCCAACTCAGAAGCATGGGGTCACCACGTTCCCGTGGCCCCGTGCCCTGCCTGCAGTGAAGACATCTGCTGGGCTCACACACGCCAGGCCCTGCCAGCGCCCTCACGAAACAGCTCGGTTCCTCCACCGGAGCTCAGGAGGCAGATGCGACTCTTCTGCGCCCACAAAAGATGAGGGACCAGGGGCAAGGCTGCTCCCATGAGGGCGCCCCGCTAATGAGGGCAGGGCTGGGGCTCCATCCCAGGCCGCCTGCTCCGCAGAGCTACGCTGACCCTGTCCCACCTGCCAGGGCTTTGGGGGCTCAGGCCGGGCCCCGATCTGCCTCTGCTCCTCTGGTTCATCCTCGCCCTGCCCAGCCGACACGGCCTCCAAGGGGTGGAAACGCCACGCTCCCGGGCACCACAGGATGCAGCCCTAGCCGAGCCTGGTGGTGACACGCTAGAGGCTGGATCTGTGGGTCAAAACTGTGAAGTGCTGGCGATTTCATGTGATTCATCCTGAAGCCTTTAAGGCACCCAAGAGCCTCCGCCTCACCCTGCACCGTCCCATCAGCTCTGACCCCCTCCAGGAGTCACACCTCCGTGCTCTGGAACCAGCAGTGACCCTCCAGGAGTGCCACTCCTCAGCGCAAAGACACCCGACATCCAGAGCTCCCCCATGCCCCTCTCAAGGTCAAGCTGCGCCTGAGTCCCGCCCCCCACTACCTGCCCTCTGCACCCCCATTGCCCCTGAGAGCCCCAGCACGCAGGGGTGCTCCGGGAGCCTCTGGAGGGCGATGGAAGGGCTCCTAACCCAGGCTGCTGACCCACTCGGGGTCCAAGGCCAACCCCAAGATGAGGGCCTCGGAGAGCAGGCAGCCAGCCAGGACCGCAGGTGGAAAGGCCAGGGCGGCAGAGCCGGAGAGACTGAGGAAGACACGGGCTGCCGCTCGTGGGTCAGGACCAGCCCTGAGTAGCAGCCCCAGAGAGAGTCAGCCCATACCAGGCAGGGCGAGGGCCTGGGAGGACGGGGGGCCAGACGCCTGCCTGGGCGGGACCTCTTCCCAGAGCTGCTGGCACAACCGCCCCTCAGTGTGGCCTCTGAGCCCCCTGTAAAGCAAGTGACACCCACGTCGTGAGGACTGGTCGGCACTGAACAGCGTAGCCCGGGAGCTCCTGGTGCACAGCCACGCAGCCATCACCGCCCCCATCCCGGGAAGGCCTGGTTATTTTCCATTCCGTGGACAGGGACCGAGGCTGGAGGAGAAGACCCGGCAGGTTCCAGGCCCCGCCTGCCGAGCGCCACGCTGTACTGCCCACGCAGCGTGGACCAGGGTCCCTCCGTGGCCAGCAGCTGCAGGAGGCCTGTGGGAGTCCCGGGAAGAGGTCCCAGGGCGTGCCTGGCTGGGACTTCTCTATCTGTCCGAGTGCATCTTGCCTGAAGGGTCCACGGAGCTTGGAAACCCCAGGGAGACCGGGAAGTTTATCGGGAGCTCCGGATGCTGAAGGCCAGATGCCAGGCCCAGAGCTCCTCCAGACGAATGCCCTCTGGAGGGGCCGTCCCAGCCACACCCCAGCCAGCCGGCAGGGACGAGCCAGGCCAGCTGAGCCTCCGCCCTGGGGCATGGAGGGGACAACCAACTGAAAGTCCATGCTTTGTCAGGGAGGAGAACAGGGACAGGCAGGGGGCAGAGGGAGGGCACAGAGAGCCCTGATGGCGATCTGGGGGGCACTGAGCAGACAGTAGGGCAGGGCCTGGTCTGTGAAGGAGCCGCAGAGGAGCAGCTGGGAGGGGGAGCAGCGCAGGAAGGAAGGGGAACGATTCGGGCAGGAGGCAAGGTCAGCGATGGGAGGGGCAGATCCCGAGGCCTCACAGAGTGGAAGGGGCCAGCAGCCGCGTCATTCACTGAACCGAATCGCACAGAGTTCCCATGTGGAAGCCTAAGCTGAGGGACCTCACTACGTGCCTGTGTTTGGGACGGACTCCTTGAAAGAGGTGCCTGGGGTACAATGAGCTCCTCCGTGTGGACGCTGGTCCAGTACGCCCCGTGTCCTTATAAGCAGAAGACACGAGGACGCAGACACCAGAGGGAGGCCCACGGGAGGACACGGGGAGGAGGCGGCATCTACAGGCAGAGAGAGGGGCCTCTGGAGGAGCCAGCCCAGCGATCCAGTGGGCCAGTCACCCCGTGCACAGAGCCTTGCTGTGAGCAGCTGCTCCTGCATCCAGGAATGGGGAATTCACTTGTTATTGACCATTATCGTTATGACTCGTGGCTGTGATGAAGTGGAGACTTGCCGATGCCACAGGCGCGCTGACATCTGTGACCCCAGCCCCTGCTACGGGGACCACTGTGCGGGGACAAGCGCAGGGAAGTCCTGGCCTCCTGTGGACTCAGGGCTCCCTGTGGAAGGTGCCCACCCTCCTGGGACCCCAGCACTCACCAGTTGGACAAACCAGAGCCCGGCACTGTCAGCTCCCTAGAGAGGCAAGGGTCACGAAGCGAAAACACTGTGTCATCGTATCCTGCTGCGGGTCTTGCCAACCTGTAAGAGATCAGTTATTTCTGGTTTATGAATGACTTACTCTGGAATGTTGCTGAAGCTGGGGCACCCCATGGGTCTGTCTCTGCCTCTCCTGCCAGAGGACCCCAGCATTGGGAGCTGCAGGGCCACGCTGGATGGAGCCGTCAGGCAGTACACAAACAATGGTCCCACAGAAAAAGTCCCTTCTGTGCATCTCAGAGCCCTGGGGACAAAGGGTGGGGACAGTGGGGTCCCATAGGAGACACAGGGCACTGCAGATTATCACGGTGGCACAGCCAGGTGAGGGCTCAGGCAACACCTTGGCCCAGACTCTGGCTCAACTGAGCTGTGTGGCCCTGGGCAAGTGTCCTCACCTCTCTGAGTCATTAACTGGGCTATTCTGCCTCACTGGTTTCGGGTGAGAATCAATATGAAAATCAGGCCCCACGTACAAACATTTGCCATTAATGCTGACTCCCCGTGGGCTGAACTATTTGATCCCTGTAGAAAGTAAGAAGTTCCTCTTCAAAGTTTCCCTTCTTCTTACATAATAATAAATGTTAGAAATAATCGTTTCTTTTAAAGGCTAACTTTCTTCAAAGCCTTCCTTCTTGCTTTTTGCTAGTAACTCTTTGTTAAGCCCTATCCTGTGTAGCTGTTAGGTAAAAAGGAATAAGTGCCTTCTATGTCCTTGTGCTTTAACCAAGATATTTATGTTACTACTTTTCTAAGACCTTTCACAAGCAGCTTCCTCTCCCTTCCTGATTTGGATTTGGTTGTTATCCAATCAGGTTTAGTTTAGATTCTGAAGTCCAGCTCGAACCTCCGGAGACGACACAGCAGAAGGACCCAACGCATAAGGAATAAGGATGCTGCCTTTCCTTTGTTCATTATACTCTCGTGGCAAGATGGCTGATGAGTAGTATCCTTTCTGCAGAAAGTAAAATTGCCTTGCTGAGAAAACTTTTTGTCTGAATGCTAATTTTTCCTTGCAGTACCTAAGAACAAGTATTCTGTCTCTAACAATCTAGAACTTTCCATGCTCGTGCCCTTCTCATC